GTGGATTGACTCATTGGATCAATGGGTTCCAAATCTGGAGCCTGAGTTCCTAAATCTGATCCCTTTTTTTGGATTCGTATCAAAGGTATTCTCATCCATCTTCTAAAGAAGCAGGCTGTTGAAAGTTTAATATCCCCTCTTGGGAGAGTGGATGCGTTGGAATTACATGCTAAAAACTCCGATTCGCTGGAGTATGTTCGAGCCCATGCATAGATTAAAGCAGATGCGCCTCTCCAATTTAGGAAGCCTTCCAGATTTAGTACGGGAGAAACAGTAGTCTGCGAGTTAACTTATGAGAAACTCCTAAAAGCATGTTTTCTTTGCAAGAGGCTCACGCATGATCAGGAGGAGTGCCATTTCCATGTTGCGGAGGAAGGCACTTCGAGACGTTTTAACTCAAGAGGCGAGGATCTGAGAAGAGGTAAATCGAGGCAAGCAAAAGGAAAAGAGGTGATGGGGGAAGCTCAGGGAAAGGATAAGATGGAGGTGCCTAAAAGAATCTCCACTACCATCTCTATCTCTGAACCTGTTCCCAGTGCAAAAAATGTTAAATCCCGACTTTCTAGTAGAAAATCCTCGGAGAGTCAAAGGGTCGCAAGGTATAAAGAGAAGAGGGCTCCTAGGATGCAATGGAGGAAGAAAGAAGTTCAGGGCACCACGGTGAGAGTTGAAGGCGGGAGCTCAACAAATGTGAACGAGTCGGTCCATTCTACACAGGGGAAGTTGAAATCATCTGAAAGTGTAGACCATGGGAAACATAAGAGTTCAAGTACTGATCACTCTGGATCGCACCACTCCCAGTCTGTTTTTTAGAGGCTGGGTTCCCTTAAATCAAACTCGGGAAGCAAGAAACCCAGTAATTAAAAGATCTATGATGGTATGACCACTAACAACCGCGTGCAAATGAGAAGAAGTAGTGGTGAGGGGGTCAATATTGACTCTTCCAGTTCACCGTCGGTTTTTGAAAGACTGGGTTCGGGGAGCTCGGATACAAGCTTTATGGATTTTGTTTCCCTAAAGAGACGTCATAACAGTGGGAGTGACGAAAGAAGAATGAAGAAGGCAAAATTAGGAAATGAAGAGGACTCGCCCGGTGGACACTCTGTTTTTTAGAGACTCGGTGGCTTTGATCCAGGGAAAAAAGTTTGGCTCGAGGAAGGAAAATTTCATTATGCTTGTGTGGTAGGTAAAAGCCCAAATCACTTTACCGTGCCAAAGGTTGGTGATGCGGGAAAATCCAAGGAAGATGGGTTGATGGTTAATATTAACCCCTCGAACACCCAATGAGGATCTTGAGCTGGAACTGTCTGGGGGTTGGGAATACCCCAATAGTTCGTCGCCTGAGGGAAATTAGGAGTAGATATTTCCCTGAGGTTACATTCCTATGTGAGACGAAGAATAAAAGGAGATACTTGGAAAATGGTGTTGGCCACCTCGGTTATTATGATTTATACATGGTGGAGCCTGTAGGTTTGAGTGGTGGATTGGCTCTGCTTTAGAAGAATTCTGTGACGGTCAAGATTCTCTATTCGGATACAAGATTAATCAATGCTTTGATTAGATGGGAAGGAATGGAGTTTTACTTCACTGGTGTGTATGGCGATCTGGTGAAGAAGCTCAGAGGTGTGGTTTAGGAGAGATTGATGTGGATTGGTTCTTGCCGGAAAGAACCGTGGGTATTAACAGGGGATTTTAATGAACTTGTTGATCCGGAAGAGAAATTGGGAGGAGGTATTAGATCAAATGCTTCGTGTCTGGAGTTCAAACAGATGCTTACTTTGTGTGGCTTGTGGGAAGTCAGGCATTCTGGTCACCAATATTCCTGGTTTGGGGTGAGGAACGATGAGCTGGTGTAATGCAGGCTGGATAGGACTGTGGCGAATGCGGCATGGTTGGAATTATTTCCCCACTCCATAGCTTCTTATCTCCAACGCGTCACCTCGGATCATACTCCCCTTCTTATTTCTTTGGTGGGTGATCTATGGAGAAAAGAAGCCCCTCTTTAGGTATGATCATCGATGCTTTAATAAAGAGGGTTTTAAAGAATCGGTTATGTCTGTCTGGTCTAGGTCTTGTGCTGAAAGTCAGGGATCGGTGGTGAAGACCTTAACTGAGTGTAGAAAGGCAATTGCACTATGGAAAAAGAGGAACACCTCTAACTCCTTGGTTAGAATCCAAGAACTTCACCACCTGATTGACCTGGCCACAAGAACAAGCCCTTTTGATAAGGTGTATCTGGATAATGAAAAGAGCTGCATAGAGAATACAGAAATGAGGAGAGCTTTTGGAGGCTTAAGAGTAGGATAAAATGGCTTAACAAGAGCGATCGAAACACCAAATTTTTTCATGCAATTACAAAGAACAGGAGAGTTCAGAACTGAATGAAAAGCTTGTTAGATGAGGCGAACAAGGAATGGTGTACAGAGGAGGAGATGGGTAAGATTGCTAAGAATTATTTTAAGAATCTATTCACCTCTGAAGATTTGGGTATCCATCTTGGAAAACCAGAAGAAGTGATTCCGGTTATCTCGGTGGAAATTAATGTTCGGCTACTTAGACCAGTTTCGAAAGAGGAAGTGAAGGAGGCCGTTTTTGACATAAATCCAGAGAAGTGCCCGGATCCAGATGGATTTAGCAGCTACTTCTATCAACAATTCTGGGGTACTGTGGGGGATCAAATTACTGAAATGGTTCAAGGTTTCTTTAACTCAGGAGCCCTGGAAGATGGCATTAACTCCACAAATATATGCTTGATCCCTAAGATTCTGAAGGCAAAAAGGCTCACTGATTTTAGGCCTATCAGCCTCTGCAACGTCTCGTATAAAATCGTGTCAAAGCTGTTGGCGAAGCGTCTCAAAGAGGTCCTTCCTGTGTGTATTTCAGAGTATGAAGCTGCCTTTGTGGAAGGATGTCTGATTTCTGACAATATATTGATCGCTCATGAGCTTCTTCACGCCCTGAATTCAAACAACTCTTGCTTGGAGGAGTTTATAGCGAAAGATCGAAATTTCTAAGGCTTACGATCGTGTGGAATGGTCATTTCTGGAAAAAGCTATGTCTGTTTTGGGCTTTGCGGATGAGTGGATAGGACTCATTATGAGCTGCGTTTCATCGGTTAGTTACCAGATCCTCATTAATGGTTCCCCTTATGGTATTTTTAAGCCGTCGAGGGGCCTTAGGCAGGGTGACCCTCTTCCCCTATCTTTTTGTCCTTTGCACGGAAATATTGGGGAGGATGATGTACCAAGCTGAACGACGAGGGCTAATTTCAGGGCTTAAGATAGCAAGAGGGTCCCCGGCTGTCTCTCACTTGTTTTTTGCCGACAATAATTTTTTCTATTGTAGAGCTGAAGATAATGAACTCGACCAACTGGTGGGAATTTTAGAGAAGTACAGTTTGGCCTCCGGTCAGCGCATTAACTATTTGAAATCGAGTGTCTATTTTGGACGAAATATCCCTCCAGAAAGAAAAAACGAGATAAAAAGAAAATTGGGCATTTCTGAGGAGGGGGGACAAGGGAAATATTTAGGCTTACCTGAGGATTTCGGGGGTTCGAAGGTGGAGACTCTGGGCTTTTTAAAGGATTGTATCCAACAGAAGGTGTTTGGCTAGCAAAATCACTTTCTTTCTTCGGGTAGAAAGGAAGTTCTGTTAAAAGCTGTTGCTATGTCTCTTCCCACCTATACCATGAACTGCTTCAAGCTCCGAAAAACGGATTGCAAAAAGATTATCTCGGTGCTTGCGGATTTCTGGTGGAAAAATAAGCAGGAGGCTAAGGGAATGCACTGGAAGGCCTGGAAGGAACTTTTCAAACCAAAAAATGAAGGGGGGGGGGTTGGATTTAAAGATTTAGAGGACTTTAATCTTGCACTCCTGGGCAAACAATTGTGGAGACTGGTGTTGAGACCCAATGCTCTCATTACCCCGGTGCTCAAAGGGAGATATTTTAAAGAGTCTGATCCTCTATCTGCGGGCCTTGGATCTAGACCATCTTTTGCGTGGAAGTCTTCATGCGGCTCAAGATCTTGTGAATTATGGTTCACGCAGACTTATAGGTGATGGGTCTGAGATTTTAGTCTGGCAGGATAAATGGATTGATAGGAAACCGACCTCAACACCCAACACCTACGGCTTGTCACCAGGTTCCCTCCCATCTCACTTTCCTTCTTGCACCGAACACTAAAGTTGCACAACTCATGAATGTAGATGGCAAGGAATGGAATCAGGAGTTGGTCTCTGGTTTGTTTACAAATGAGTATGCCGTTCTTGTCAATGAAGTGAGACCGGGAGGACATGAGATTCAAGATAGCTGGTGTTGGGAGTTCACAAAGAATGGTGAGTACACTGTGAAATCTGGCTATTGGGTTCTTACCAAGATTGTGAAACTGATCGATGAACAAACCTGTGGAATTGCTGCAACCTAGTCTTGAGCCTATTTTTAAACTGGTGTAAGAGTCAAAAACGAGCCCCAAAGTCCAGCATTATTTGTGGAAGTGTGTGAGTAATTGCCTTTCAGTCTCTGCTAATATGACCTATAGACATCTCACATTTCTATATATATTTCGTTGCAAATCCGTCGCTAATTTGGGACTACTTTTGCGACTTCACTTTCCGACTAAAACGAGAGTCGCTAATATGTCTTAATTTCCCACTCTTTTATGACCATAATTATATAGTCGATTTCCGGTCTTTAATTAGTCGCAAATAAGCGACTCCTGTCTGACTAATTTTTTTTGTTGGTAATTTGTGACTATCTTACCTCTCCATTACGATTAGTCGCTTATTAGTCGCAAATTAGTAACAATATCGTCCCTCTTTTTTGCGACAAAAGGTAGTCACAAAAACTGTGTTTTCTTGTAGTGCGATGAACAAACCTGTGGAATTGCTGCAACCTAGTCTTGACCCTATTTTTAAACTGGTGTGGGAGTCAAAAACAAGCCCCAAAGTCCAGCATTATTTGTGGAAGTGTGTGAGTAATTGCCTTTCAGTCTCTGCTAATATGACCTATAGACATCTCGCAAAAGATGATCAATGTAGCAGATGTCAAGCAAGCAGTGAGACCGTCAACCATTTGTTGTTTACTTGCCCATACGCTCAGTTGACGTGGGCTCTATTCCCAATCGCGGCCTCTCCTGATGGAGTTCTGGATGAATCGCAATACTCTAATCTTTACAGAGTACTCAACATTGGTAGTTCCTTCCCAGCTGAGAAAAGTTTTGAGGAATTGGTGCCTTGGATTCTTTGGAGGTTGTGGAAAAGTAGAAATTATTATATCTTCAAGGGGATTGACAGGGATGCTCGTGACCTTGTGATAAAGGCTAAAGCTGATGCAGAGGAATGGAGGAACAGAACGGAGGATGAGATTGCTGTATCCACCACGCATATCCCAGCTATGTGTCAGACTAAATGGATCCCGCCTCCACCTTTATGGGTGAAATGTAATACTGATGGTGCCTGGCCACAGAACGGAAGAGGTGGCATGGGCTGGGTTCTACGTGAATGTTTTTATGGATGGGAGCAAGAGCTATACCTAAATTACGTACACCCTTGGAAACTGAACTGGAAGCATTGAGATGGGCCATCTCCTCTACAAAAAGGTTTGGATTCTCGCACTTTATCTTTGAAACCGATTCTAAGGAGGTAGTGGATATAGTCAAAAATGGTGAGCAATGGCCCTCATTTTTCCCAGTTATCCAAGACATTAAAAGAATGCTCTCAAGCTTGGTGGATCAGCGGATTGTGTTTAGTCCAAGAGTCTGTAACACTGTGGCGGATTGAGTAGCAAAGGAGGCTCTATCTTTTCAGATTTATGCCCCTAAGTTTTACTCGTTAATGCCAGATTGGAACTCTCAGTTTGTGAATTTTGATCGTGCTACTTTGTAAAACAGTTTATTGGATAATAAATGAAGTTGTTTTGAGCCAAAAAAAAAAAAGCAACCGTTTGCGATGTCCTACTACTATCAGCAAAAATATTGATTCTCTTTTTTTCCCTTCCAATTGTATACTCATAAGAAAATTATCCACATCCAGCTATGGTTTAGTCTTGTTCTTAAAATCACACATGTTTAGAACATGTCAATTCAGTATAGTACTTAGAAAGCACCTCACTTTACCAAATCAACACGTGACATGTTTTGCCAATTTAGGATAGTACTTAGGGACCACCACACTATTTACCAAAAAAAGCAAATTAAAACTACAAAACCTTTTGCTAGTTTAAGTAGTTAGCGAAAAGATGCATCTCATATAGTAAAACCTTATGGTTAAGCAGTATGAATAGTGTGATGTTGAAACTTAAAATTGTATGTTCTTATTAATGTATATATTTTGAGTGATTGGCACAGTTGTGAATAACTAAAAATAAAATATTCATATATTTATTTATTTGGGTATATCTTCTATTATTATTTTACAAGGATACATTAAAAAGAACATTTATGTCATGTATGATTTATAATTATGCCATGCTGAGGTATCAAATTCAGAGAGTTTTTCAAAAAAATTTTAAAATTAGACTCAACTTACTAGATTAATTACATCATATGCCATTAACATTAATTTGGTTAAAGATTAGTTTATATCAAATATATATTTAATACTCAAACATTTAATTTGTAAATATATTTTCTCTCTTTTTCTATTTTTATCAACATATTTATCGAAATTTAATACATAATATTACTTATATTACTAAAAAATATTTTCTTATCCCATATTTCTTTAATTTTAATTTTGTTAAAAATAATCATACTATCTATTTAATAATAATAAAATCTAATTTTTTATACATATTATAATTCATATTTTTTATATCAAAACAAAGTATCTTAGTCTGATGTTAGACCGGTTAGATAGAACATATTAATCTAATTTAGAATATTTAATGTGTAATTTTATTTATATATTACTAAAATTAATTATAAAATCAATAATTATCTAGCATTTATGCAATTGTATTATAAAATAAATATAATTTTGATCATGTATAATCATCATATATATTTACAATTATAAATTTCAGCTAATATTTTTATAACTGTATTTATATATATATATATTATATTTGCATATTCGAAAAAAAGAATTGTGGTTAATATTTACGCTGCATATGATGCGGGTAATCAACTAGTTATATATAATATATATTTTCAGAATTTTTCATTTTATCATATTTATTAAATCATTATATAATTATAATATTAGTATTACAATAATAAAAATAAATGGTAAATATTGTTGTTAAAAATATAAACGTAATTTTTGATGTTATTTTAATAAATGAAATATAATTATATGAAATTATTTTAAATTATTTTTAATATATTAAAGCATAAAGTTTTCAAAAAGCTTCATATAATTCATAGAGGAAAGAACATTTAGAGCACATTTGCATCTTTTAAATCTTTCCTAAATGCTCTATTGATAAATGGTGATTAGATGATAAGAAGTATAATACTTTTTTAATAGCTCTACCAATCAGATTTTATTTATTTATAGGGTTTTATCAGTTATCACACATTCACACATACATATATACATACGTATATATATTAAATTAATATCTCTTTATATTGATACACCTTTTTTTTTGGCGTCTATATTGATACACTTATGACCTCCCAGTTGAACTTTCTCTGATATATCTTTTAAAAAATTGTTGTTTTCGAAATAAACAAATTTTATAGAAGATGTACCAATGAGTCAATAGGAGGCGGCCACAGGCCCACAGGAACACAGTGTTTAATAATAGTCACGTTCCCAGTAAGTTAGTAGCATGTAAAATATCTTCACGTGTTGGAGTATTTTTTTTCTTGTTTCGAAATATTTCTGCGTGTGTATTGTTTTGTTTTATAAGTATTTTAATTGTATTGTGTTGAAAATTCTTATCACAATAGTGTTTCTTGTACACCCTTTATAAACGGGTCGATCAGAATGAGATTTACATACAACACAAGAATTTGGATTCAAAACGAAAAGAAAAACCTAAAGGCAATACAGGTAACAGGTAGATCGATCGATGACGAGCAATGGCGATGAAAACTGCAACGCAAGCGACCACAATGTTTGGCGGTTCAAAGGAAACGGTGCAACAAGTGATGCGGCAGTAGTAAGACTGAGAAAGCTTGCTTTCGGGGAGGCGGAGCTAGAATATTTTTTTACGGGAGTCAATAATAATATAATCACATAAATATTAAATTTATGGGATTAATATATACGCTTGAGTTTAGATAATTTACAAAATATAAAAAAAATACATATTTACAATAAAAATTATAAATTTCACCGGGGTCAACTGACCCCCTCACCGTCTAGTAGCTCCGCCACAACGGGATGTTCAAAAACTACAGCTTAAATAGCAGAAAGATGGTTTTGTTCCCATCCCCCGGTGAGCCCTCCGCTTTTCCCACCTTCAGGACTTGCCCTGAAGCAGAGGAAGCCGTGGCCGCAGCCGCACGCTCCTGCATGGCCAACATTTATGCACCAAGTCCCGGAATTTTCAAGGCCAGAAAGTATAATTCAAAGAATTATTTTGCTTTTTGAAAATAATAATAATAATCTTGAAATGACTTATCATTTTTTTCTCTCAGAGCAGTGGCAGATCATTTAAACGGAGAGCTTCCGTCTCAGCTTAGAGAAGAGGATGTGTATATCACCGGTTGTTGCAACCAAGCGATAGAGATCGTAATAGAATCCATTGCCGGAAATCTAGCGGCCAACATTTTGCTTCCATGGCCAGGTTATCCTCACTATGATGCTCATGCAATCAATAATGGCATCCAGATCCGCAAATACGATCTCCTCCCTGAAAGAGATTTCGAGATCGATCTCGACGGCTTCGAGGCCCAACAATCCTTATCATTATTTTGCTTCCATGGCCTCGAGGATGAGAATACCATCGCAATGGTTCTTATCAACCCCAACAATCCTTATGGGAATGTCTACACCTACGATCATCTCAACAAGGTTTTCGTTCATATAATAAACATATAACTTTTTCGATATATGTGACATATATTATCAATGTTTAGGTTATCTTTCCACTTAATAGGCCAGTAATAGAAGTTTATCCTAGTTACATAGATATAACAGCAGCAAAGAAATAGCTCATGCTATTTCAAACTTCTATTAGTATGTTTTTCTTTTTTTAAAAGACTTTTCTTGTTTCTCTGATGAAATCTCGTGTTATCGGCACTAATCACTAATTGTTTAGGGGTTTGATCCACTAATCATAACCGTTTTTACACCTTCATGAAGCAAACATAAAAGACCTAGAATACAATAATCTAAGCTCTAAATCAACTATAAAAAATGGTTAAAAATTAACTAAACTAGATTTATAATCCGTGCGTTGCGCGGAATTTCATTTTTAAATAGTTAATTCATTATATTTATATTTTTACTGTTCTTGATTTTATTAGACTTATTTTCTATTTTTATATTATCATAGTTTGTTATTTTTTTGGTCTTCTTTCTCATCTTCAACATTTTTGTCCTCGTATTTTTATAAATTCTTCTTTATCAGTTTTGTGTTCTTCTTTTTCTTCTTTATTTTTCTTTTTTTCATCTTCGTCTTCATTTTCTTCGATTTCTATTTCTTCTTTTTCTTTTTCTTTCTATTGTCAACAGTCTAAATACCTAGAACGGTTCAACTTCTTTTTATTTTTATTTTTTTCGATATTTTTTTAATCTTTTTCTGATTTTGTTTCGTCTCTTATTTTTACTTAGCTCGTGTATGTATTCTTCTTTTTTTATTTTGTCTCCATCTACATATTTTTCTTCTTCTTCTTTTTTCTGATTTTGATTTTCTTTCTTTTTCATCGTCTATGATTTTCATTTTCATCCTCGTCTTTTTCTTTAACTATGTCTTTTTACTGTTTTCCCCAATTTTTACTCTTCTTCTTCTAAATAAAAAGTAATAATTATAAACAATGTGTGAATTAATTAAGTCATTAGATTTAGTGTTAGTGTTTTTCTTTTATTATTAAATGAAAAGAATAATTTTTTAAAATGTGTGAATTAATTAAGTCATTAATTTTAGTTTTGTTATTCTATGCTGATGTGGACATCCTAGATGGAGAGAAAACTCTGTCATTATATAATAGATTAGCCTGAATTAATTGGGATAATTACCATTTTAACTGTTACATAATTTTTTTTATTAACCTTTAGGTTCCAAAGATTGCTAGGAAACTTGGCATAATGGTGATATCCGACGAAGTACACGTTCGTGTTGTATATGGGGACAATCCTTCTATCTCTTTCAGAGTTGTGCCTGAGATTTCTCAGATTACAAGTGAGGAAAAAAATTGACCCCTTAATCCTTTATATAAAATACTATAATGAGAAAAACTCACTTGAGTAATTCATTACTCTTTTACAGCTTAACCCACAAATAATAAATTGTGAAAGACTCACAGTCCACTAAGGTAATTAATTATTATTTTCAGATGGACAGTCTTATTTATAGTGTAGTTTCCTCTTCAATAATTTGAAAGTTTTTGATATGGGACATATCACATATGGGCCGATTTAAAAAAAAAAAAACAATAAATGACAAACACGCGCACATGTAGACTCGAACCTAGACACGCACACAGGTAACTCGAACCTAGACACGCACATGAACATATTATACCCAATTTTTCACAAACCAACTGGACTAACTTAACATTTGAAAAATTAGTCTCCAAAAAATATCTAACTCCTCGGCCCTGAACACATGTTTCATTGACCTGTGTTCAGACACGGTTTTGATCCCCATGGGGAAGTTTGGATCAGTAGCTCCAGTGATAATGCTTAGATCCATATCCAAAGGATGGGTCGTCCCAGGCTGGAGAATTGGCTGGATTGCCAAGAACGATCCTAATGGCATTCTTAGGTCCACAGGGGTTAGACTCAACTTCTAAACCCGAATTTTAAATAAGAATCGCTCATATAAATTGAGAAGAGAGAGTAACTAATATTTTGGGCCTTTTGCTGGCATCAGGTAGTTAACGCAATATAGGATTGTCTTGAATTAGATCCACAACCATTAATTATTCTTCAGGTTTGTAGTCTCTCATTATCAACACTACACAATATCTTCGAAAGCAAGTGTTCAAAAAATCGGCCAAGTCGGTTTCGGGGTTAGCCGACCCGATTTTCATAAAATCAGTGAAGCAAATCTGGTTTAGTAATAAATCGGACCAAGTCAGAGAAAATCGGAAAAATTGGACTAAATCGGTAAAATCTGCCAAATCAAACTAATTATTTTTATCTTTTTCAATCATTTTTATGGTTTTGGATGATAAACCGACATCGGTTTACAGAAAGGAGAAAAAAAAATGAAGAGCCTAATGGTCATCCTACTTACCAAACTCAAAGTGATGAGCCTAGCGGAGATATCGATTCCGACGATGAAAAATGATATAGCCAATGATTTTGAATTTGAGTCTGAAAATAAGCAGGTGGTGGATATGGATGTGTTTGAAAAATAAGTTAGATAAATTTCTCTTTGCATTATATTTTTAAAGTCTTAAAACTTACTTTACTTTGAAGAATTTGATGATTTTTAGTTTGGTTTCTATGTTGAACTTTATTTTATAATTTTATTTATCAATTTTTCTTACTTTTTTACTAAAACATAAATTTTGACAAAAACGATTAAACTTTTTTTAAAATATGATATATATATATAGAATATTTATAAAAAAATAATAAAATTTTGCTAATGTTTAAGCTCCGCCTAGTCTCCGACTAATCCGCTTAGGCGCTAGTCTCCTATTATACGCCTAGTCACAAAATTAGCTCCAATTTTTTTAGCCTATCTTTTTTTTTAGCCTATCTTTTATATAGCTCTTGGGGCAGAGAACTGGGTGAGGATATCAATCGGAACCAAAGAAGCCGTGCTAGAAGAAATATTTGACAGATTAAGAAGTTTCTATAGTCGTCATGCCACCTCTAAGGAAGCTATCAAACTCAATGGTCATACAATTAATCACAGAATTGTTTCAGATGTCATCTGATTCTAGTTTTCTTCCTTGTGCCACGGTGAATGTTTGGATTTACAGAATGAATGTTTGTACACCTGCCATGACTCCATAAGTTTGTAATGGCTGTTTTGTGTAGTCACGAATAATATCATAGATAACATCGTTTCATAAACAAACGAGGGCATTCGAGTCTTATAGATATATGCAGCAATACAAGGACATTTGTATTTACTCTTACTCAAAACGATCTAGTTTGCAAAGCGCTTAGCAAAAAACTCAATAAACTAAGCTATAAACGATAAACAAATAAATCTAGATCGACTCTTAATGGAAAACAATGGGCCATGGGCTTAGCAAATAAGAAGAAACACTATCCTAGAACATGAAACATGAAAAACAAGACTAACTATCGTGATACTAATTACTTCACTAATTACATAATTTGCTAAACCTTTTATTGGTAATCAAATATTCAGTGAGCATTAACGAGCAAGTCCATTAAGTTCATTAATCACCCTAACATCAGCTTTCATTGTTTAAGGAAGAAAAGCCAACTTAAGATTCATTCAACCATCTCATCAAACACTTTTAGAACATGAAATGTCTATGATCTAGATTTCAATGATCAGTTAGCATTAATTACATTTCATATGAAGGATTCAAAATCATATAGGCCTAATCATTATCAATCCATCCTAATTTACTAAATCCATAACCCAAAGCCCAAAGGCATAACTACTCACATATTATGGAAGGTCTAAATAATCAGAAAAAGTACATTTTTAGGTCAGTTTTAAGATGTTTTTCTCCTCCTGGTGGTCTAATATATTATGGGATAGGAAATGCATATTTCAATAAATTATGGGATAGGAAATGCAGAATCACCATTAGAAAGCTTGGTGAACTGAATTATATATATCTTCCATACATGGCAAATAAAAAACGGGCATTTTCTTCAATACATTTTTTTCTTTAATTTTTCGTTTTTTATGTGTTTTTATTCGCTAATTCTAACCAGTTTCATATGATAAGTCTTACAGGAAAAATGTCCTTAATTATATGAGGCCCTTTAACAAAAAAAAAGTCACTAAACTATTGTTGCATGTGAAATGTGTAGAGTAGGATATGTTTTAAAATGTTATTGGTGATCAAGCTAACGTGTAATGAATCAATAAGAGATACCCTCTGTTTAAGATAATGGAATGGTCACGCAACAACTAAATAACGAATATTAATAAGGATAGAAACTTTCACGTGTTGGAATGATTGTTTTTAGAGTTTATACACATATATAAATATATATATATATGTACTGCATCATTGCATGTGGCTTAAATATTATTTTAATGTCTAAAGAACACTAAAATATTGCTGCATGCATGTGTATTGCGTTTAAAAATTCTTATTATAATAGCCCTTCTTGTGGTCCTTATAAAGGGGTCGATCAGAATGAGATTTAACCACAACACAAAACTTGATTTCACAGCTAAAAGACGAATCTAAACGCAAGACAGAGAGATATCGATGGCGAGAAATGGCGATGAAAACTGCAACGCAAGCGACAGCAACGTTTGGCGGTTCAAAGGGAACGGTGCAACGAGTGATGCGGCGGCAGTAACACTGAGAAAGCTTGCCTTTGGGATGTTCAAAAACTGCAGCTTGAACAGTGGAAAGACTGTTTTGTTCCCAACTCCAGGCGAGCCTTCCGCTTCTCCCAGCTTCAGGACTTGCCCCGAAGCCGAGGAAGCCGTGGCCGCAGCCGCACGCTCTGGCATGGCCAACTCATATGCACCAAGTCCCGGAATTTTAAAGGCTAGAAGGTATGACTAATTTAAAATACTTTTTTCTTTTTTACAAAAACCAAAAAATAAAAAATATAAAGTTGACCTATCATTCATTAGATAATAACTCATTTCTTTTAGAGCGGTAGCTGATTATCTTAACGGAGAGCTTCCAGCCAAGCTGAGAGCAGAGGATGTGTATATCACTGGTGGTTGCAATCAAGCAATAGAGATCGTAATCGATTCCCTTTCCGGAAATCCATCTGCAAACATTCTGCTTCCTAGACCGGGCTATCCTCACTACGATGCTCGAGCAGTCTATAGTGGCCTGGAGATTCGCAAATATGATCTCCTCCCCACAAGGGATTGGGAGATCGATCTTGAAGGCCTCGAGGCTGCTGCGGATGAGAATACTGTGGCAATGGTTCTTATTAACCCTAACAATCCTTGTGGAAATGTATATACCTTCGATCATCTCACCAAGGTATAAATATTTTTCATATACTATTCAAACCTTTATAATTTTTTTTTTTATGTACATAGAGCTAACATATTTTGTTTTGTATGGGCCAAACTTTAGGTGGCGGAGATGGCTAGAAAACTTGGTATAATGGTAATATCTGATGAAGTATATGATCGTGTTGTCTATGGAGACAAGCCTTTTATTCCCATGGGGAAGTTTGCATCAATAGCTCCAATCATCATGCTAGGATCCATATCCAAAGGATGGGTCGTCCCGGGCTGGAGAGTCGGTTGGATCGCCATGAACGATCCTAATGGCATTTTTAGATCTACAGGGGTTAGTCAGCTTCTGAACCTAATATTTAATTATAAGATTCGCTCACACTAATTAAGAAGAGAGTAACTAATATTTTGGGCCGACTTTTATTGACATCAGGTAGTTCAAGCAATAGAGGATTGTCTTGATTTAGTTGCACAACCTTCATATATTCTCCAGGTTTGTAATCTAAAGCTATAATCAAAGAGTTAAGGCTTCATATATATATATATATATATATACAAACGTTTCTCAATAATGTGACTTTATATCTTCATGAGTTTTGATAGGAAGCACTTCCTGATATATTGGAGAAAACACCTAAGGAGTTCTTCGCCAAGAAGCTCAAAGCCATGAGACGCAACGTAGAGCTTTCCTGTGAGAGGCTCAAGGACATTCCTTGTCTCTTTTGCCCCAAGAAACCCGAATCTTGTTCTTATTTATGGGTACTTTCTTTTACTTGGATCTAAGATATATATGTATTTTAGATATATATATATATATATTAGGATCCTTATTCTTGATTTTATACATTAGGCATAAATTCACAATCTAGATATCGAAATCATGCCTTATAATAATTGATATATAACTAACCAGTTTAAACGATTTGTTTTGCAGGTAAAGCTTGACACATCAATGTTTGATAATATCAAGAATGACTTTGATTTCTGCACAAAGCTAGTTAGTGAGGAGAGTCTTGTCCTGATACCAGGTATTGATCTCTTAGTAACCTGTCAAAAACTTGGGCTCCCATATTATTGTTCTTGCATATGTTTTCAATTTATAAAGTTTAATCTAGTATGAACACCTTTTTTGTTTATTTATATTTAAATATACTTTTTTGGGAATATGGCAGGAGTGGCTCTAGGGGCAGAGAATTGGGTGAGGATATCGATCGGAACCGACGAATCCGTGCTAGAAGAAATATTTGACAGATTAAAAAGTTTCTATGGTCGTCATGCTCTCTCCAAGAAAGCTATCAAATTCAATGGTCATTCCATTACCCAGAAGGGTGTTTCTGTCATTTAACTCTTTTCGGCTTAAACCATATATTGTAAGATCCCATTGTAAGGCATAAGAGCATCATTTATCGGTGAAACTGTTATTGAGTTTCTTAGTAATTTTTAATTAATAATTTTGGATTAAGAAACTTATTAAAAATTCCAATAATTTGTATAGTTTATCGGTAAACTCTAAATAGATTTCTAAAAAATAAACAATGGAGATCGAAGTTCATCTTCTCCGTCAAGTCAACTTCATCTCCTTCAACCTCCTTCCACTCAAACTGATTCACCATATTCGCCACATAACACTCAAGATGCAGCTTTGCCAATCCAATCCCAGGACAAATCCTCCTCCCTACTCCATCGGTTCCTTCCAAACCACCAGATCTATTCCAATCTCCGCCATATTGAAACTCCCAGACGAAGGATGTCGTGGCATCTTCTTCATCTCTTCTTCCACCAAAGACTCTTCTTCCACCAAAGACTTGTGGGAACCGGGAAAGAAGTTTTTTTCGGAGGAAAAAAATTTCAGCACAGAAAATTTTCAACAAAGGAGAAGAAATGGTCTGAGACAAAAAAAAAATTCCAAGCCAAAATTTTCCAAAATGCAAGAACCAATCAAATTCTGCCATGTCATTTGTTAGGATCGATTCTTGAAATCTCTAAATAAGGATGGATCCCTGTGTTTAAACTCATTAATTCAACTAAAAAATGCTCATTAAATCAGAAGAAACCCAGAAGAAACCACCAATAATCATGGTCTAAGATGTTTGGCATAACGAGATAACATTATTATAAATAATTAAGACAAGTTTTACTAACTTTCTTCAAATTGGATATAAAGATAAACGACCAGCTCCGCAAAAGAATCAGTCTCCACCTAAATCTAGTGTCAAGCTAATTAAAAGCTAAAGAAGTTGTTTAGCTAAACCTCTTCATCGACACATGGGCAATCCAAGGATTTAGGTTCAAATTCCTTCGAACTCCCGATTCCTTCAAACAGAAAGAGTGGTACGATCCTAATAGGAGAAAATTAATAGCGTTTTGTCATTCTCTTCGTGAGATTGATTGTGTCCGCGAGGACACGTAAGAAAACAACTTCTCAAATATAAACTATAAAACTATAAAAATGTTCAAAAATAAAATATATTATAGAAACTGTAAGTTCCACATTTGCTTTGTCTATAATTTGCCAGCTTGACATTACATAGTTCTTAATAATACAATAATCTGGAGCACGTTACAAGTTCAGAGCAAAATTACTATTATATTGATACGTTTAATCGATAAGAAAATCCGGTAGGATTTAAATTTTGTCTCCTAATACATTAATTATACAATCATACACATACGACAAGTTAAACTTTTATTCTGTGAGATTTTATTCGTGGTTAGGTGAAGATAATATTTGCCAAATTATTTAAAAATCTTACATTATCATGTGAAATACTCTTTGCATCTCTAGCGATCAACTAGAAACTGAGAAGATTCCATGTTCGGATTATTTTGACCACTACGCAAAACAGTCAAGTTTCATGAATTAAACAGTCAAGATTCCATGTTCCTTTTTTCTCTTGCCCCAAGAAACCCGAATCTCGTTCTTATTTATGGGTACTTTTCTTTTACTTGGATCTAGGATATGTATTCTAGATATTTTAGTTTTGTATTTTAAATCTGACTACTTAATTGTATCCCATTATCCTGGAACTTTAATTCATAACCTTCACATCATGATCATACATGAATGTTGGATAATATCAAGAATGACTTTGATTTCTGCACGAAGCTAGTTAGTGAGGAGAGTCTCGTCTTGATACCAGGTATTGATCTCTTTAGTTACATGTTGAAAACTGGGCTCCCATATTCATGTTCTTGCATATGGTTTCAAATTATAAAGTTTAATTTACTCTAGTATGTAATTTTTGTTCGTTTATTATATTTAAATATATATTTTTCTTGGAATATGGCAGGGGTGGCTCTTGGGGGCAGTGAACTGAGTGAAGAAATCGATAGGAACCGACGAATCCGTGTCATAAGACATATTTTACAGATTAAAAATTTTCTATGGTAACATCCTAAATTCTGGTATATGCGATTGATTTGGTTATTTATGTTGTGAATTTATATTTTCGGAGACTGATCCTGAAAGAATGCCAGAATTCAGTGTGTTTGAGCTGAAAAAATTTCAAGATGGATGATCTATCGCTAAATAATTCGTGGTACCGTACAAGTGGGAATAAAAAATGGGTAAAAATCATATGGTGATTTCAAGATCAGTAATTAAGTTTTGTGAGCCTCCAGGATTAATGCACTGACCGTCGGATGAGGATGGTGCCTACGGATCGAGAGTGGATGTGGAGCGGAATGGTCAGGGCGTTATAAGTAGTATCAAAACTATCCCAAAATGTGTGTGGAGTCATGAGGGCTCACAACATCTAGGATGATGATCCCAGTGTGGAACGAGTGTATTGCGCTCTGTGGGTATGATGATTGTAACATCTTGATTTCTGGTATACGCAGAGAGTTTATAAGAATTGATTTGGTTATATATATATATGTCACCTGAATGCAGTTATCTTTTTGGGTACAGCTCATGAGAGAAATTTGAAGTTAAACGTAATTGAAATTAAAAAATTTCAGGATGAGTAGCGTAGAGCAAAGTAATTCGCAGTACCACATAAGCGAGGACAAACACATGAAGAAATATCATGTGGTGATTGCAGAGTCAGTAAACAAATATTGCGAGTCTGATAACACCTGATTTTGACCACTTTTCACCATTGATTTTAAATGCTTTTTCAAAAGTTTTATTTTGTTTTATGAACTTTTATTATGATTTTCATGTATTTGTATTTTCAAGGTTCTTTTCAGGAAACTTAGGGAATATGATGGAAAAATAGAAGAAATCCACATTTTTAGCTCAGAGTCAGACCGTCAGAAGTTCAGCCTCAAATGAAAACTTTCTCACCGTCCGATCCAGCTCAAATTTGGAGACAATTAATAAGCGACAACCAGCTTTTCATAGCATTTTACATCACAAAGATCCAATGGTGCAATCAAAAGATACATGGAGAATAAGTTGACCCAGTTCACCAGTCCCAGATCTCACCTGCGGGAAACACATGTTTTACCTGCCCTGGAAGACTCTCACCCCCGGTGGACCTTAGGACGAGCCACAAGGCCCAGCATCAAAGCCCACTTCGCCATTTCTCTTCAGAGAAGTCATAAATGAGACTTAGAAGACCTTAGGACCTATAAATACATTGTTTAGCAGCCCTAAACGGGTGTGTGCTCCTGTAATAAGATTTTGAGCCACCAAACTCTGTTTTTCTAGGGTTAGGCGATGTAGATAAGGATTCTTCCCCAGATCCATTGTTCTTCATCCTTTTTATCTTATTAACTTTTCTGTTTCATTCTTTTGCATTCTTCTATGTCTTTTATCATTCCTTGCATCATGTAGATTAGTCCCAGAGAGTCAAGTTGTTTGAAGATATCGACAAGCATATATATCGATTAGGATTTCTATTGTTCTTAGCCATATACTGGATCTCATCTCTTCTAAGTTGTTCATAAAGCATGAGAGTAGACTCATGACCTATTCTCTGAGCCTAGGATCGATCAGAGCCAGGAGAGTGCTGTATCAGATCATCCATACCTAGCTTCAGAAGAACATAGTCGCTATAGGAGTCGAGAGCTACCTATAGAGAATATGTGAGCAGACGAATTCAATGTCCAATGCATGATCTTAAGTTTAGTATGAGAGCGAGAGTTAATTGCTAGATCTAAGAGATTAGTTGATTAAGGTGACGATAGTTGGTTAATCATACATATGTCTATTCTAGTTCAATGCAGATTCCCAGAAACAGATGAAGATAAATCGCCCGGAAGCTAATTGGAAATACCATCATACATCGATTAGAGTAATCCGGAGAAGTCTAAATCGCCACCTATGAGTTTAAGAGTCTTTAGTTTGAGTCGATATGCTTTATATGTTCGTTTAACAATTCATCCTGCATTGCATTTCTTGTGAATATTAGATTAGGTTTAGTTGAGGATCTTAACCAAAACCCAAAAACTTTTATTGGTTTATGAGTTTGCTTACTTCCCAGTTTATTGTTTCTTGCAGATTAGACATCCTCCCTGTGGATCGACATCCTAAGTCCTACAACGTACATCTGTGCACTTGGAGACACTAGGGTTTTATAAATTTAAAACTTAAGAAGAACCAATGGACTTGTTAAAAGACAACCCTAGGCCCGCAAGCCCATCAGAGTCTCCAGAACTAATGCATCGGCCGTTACTGTTTATAATAACTCCATGTACATAAGAGGTCAGCCACTATGAGGAACATGTTATACTTCAGCGCAGATGACAAAGTATAAGGGACTTCTTCTTTAGTAGCTGGACCGCTAGCATCCAGTAAAGGATCTTCATAGTTTCATTTAGGTATGGAAAAATTATCCAAAACCAAAGAACTAAACCGAACTGGATACCGAACCAATATAAACCGTCATATCCAAATGGATCATAGACCCTTATGAGCAAAGAACTGGAACTCAACCAGAACCAAACCGAGATTATCCATTGTTGGATCCTGGCTCCTTGGGAGCCACCAACTCCTCATTATCAAATTGGCATTTTTTCTATACTATATGGAAGTATACTCTCTAGTTTCTAGACAATGTTACGGTTAGCACCTTTACATGGAGCTGGTGATGATCCTATCTCCTTAATTGGAAGTGTACTATATATCATTAATCTCAAGATGCTTCACAGTAATATGTTTTTACCATAGTCTCAGACATAACTCTTTGATAATCAAATTGTATTACATTCTCAACAATAGCCTTATCATCTTGATTACTCTGAACTTGTATAGCTAGAACACATATCTTGGTCATCCTTTCATGCATTAGGTGATTTTGTATCAATATGGTTATTCTGCTCAAGTTCATCATCAAATCTTATAATTGGAGGTGTAGAGATCACCTGTGAATATGTGACATTACGATATAACATTAGTAA